TCGATTTTTCGTGCTTTTGCTACGAGATCTATCACTGTTTATTATTTTAAAATCGTATTAAAACTATTTGGACGTTTCCGTTGACATCTGATTTTCCATAAATCAGGTCGAAATATGCATACAAATAATAACAAGAATTTTCGCTGCACTAAAATAATAACTAAATGAGATATTTTCGTTTTTTGTAAGGAATTACGTTTGATGCATGTTTTTATAAAGTTATCAAAATATACACATTTTGTAAATACTACTAGGGGTTATGTATTTTTAATCCTATTTCAAGTAACTTAATAAACACGATTTTGAGTTAGAACCTGGCACCAGACCTTTTAGATTTTCTTTTCACTTACCTGACTATTTCGATGTATAAATATGTGAAGTAATAAGTAAATGCAACATTGAAAACTGAGGTATTAAGTATAAACAAATTATTTCCCACTAATAATTACTAAGTAATTATTTCTAAAAAACGGGATAATTATTAATTAAGACTATTTCATTAAAAAACTATGCATATTTCAGCTGAACTTATCAAGATCGTAGTTTAATTTGCCCTCTAATTAAGAAATTTGACACGGCATTAAGTCCAACTAGATTAAATTTCCTCTCTAAATACTTAGACTACCGCTCTCAAGCTTAATGCATTTATAATTAAATTCTTGCAATTATGCAACGGATAATTTCTTCCTTAACCTCTGAAAGGATAAAGCGTTTAATAAAGTGCTAGTTGCATAAAAACTTGGCAAACCGAGCAATAAACTTAATTTGAAATTTTAATTGAACTGAAACTTAAGCTAGAGTTTTAATAGTGCTCAGATTTTATTTTACGAGTAAAGTGGCCAGCAATATGTACAAAAGTAATTTATTTTTAGTAGATTTTGCGAATTACTTTGTTACGCGGGAATGTGTTAGAGGTTTGTGTTTATTTGCCGCTATAACAATAACAGGTAAAGCACGAAGAAGGATAAAAGCGCTAGAGTGGAAAATAATAATAAACAAGTCAATATCTGAAAATATCCCCAATAATAATATTTTGGTGCTTGCTGAACAACCGTGGAGAGAAATCTGAAACCATGTTTTAAATTTTGACAAATAAATCAATATACTTAAAATGAGATAAATAATTTCTTACTGAGGGTTTTTCTAATTTTAAAAGCTAGAAATGAAGGTTTTATTTTTTAATTTCTCAGTCTAATTTTGGATATAGGGACTCCCACAGTCGTTTAACATGCATAATTGAAACCTTCGCTGAATTTTAGTGCCAACAGTAAAATAATTATCCATTTGATTATACAGACGAAGGAACTTTTTAAATTTGTAGTATGAGACGTTATTTACAATTCGTCGCAGGTTCTCTGTCGATAATCTAGTAAGAGCTTCTGCCTTCGACATTATAAATGTCATCTTTTAAAACTATTTGATTTGCATTTCTATAGAGCTTTTGAGACTCGGCTCAAACTACGACGTTGGAAACCAAGTCCTTTCGGAGCTGTAATTCCCACGTCTAGTACTTCAACTGCTCCTTCATGCGTTATCTTGCAAGAATTTCGTTGTCCTTCTAAATTCATCGTTTGGCATTAACACAATTTATTTGTGATCGAGAATCAATCTTCTCATAGGTGTTTTGTTTTAGCCAAATTCGCGCCAAAGTGTTTTGTATCAAACCATTTTTCATGAGCCGTTTGATTGATTTGCTTCTAGTCCGAGAGCAAAAAATTTTGGGGTCGAACGCTTTTCAATTAAAAAGGTTTCAGCAAAGCAAATTTTCTTGCAGGATTTCCTATTTTCTCGTTACAGTTTTCTATTTGTTTCATTATTAGAAAGTATGATTTTCATTCCATAGTTCAAATTGTGCACAATTTTTCCCTTTTCAATTTAATTTCAATGGTCAATATTTGCTTTTATAATTTTCATGTCAATGGTTAATTGTTTCACGTAGCTAATAAATTTAAATATTGATTATGTCCTGGATTCGTCACGTAAATTTTTAATTCTTATTTTAAAATATTTGGGTTTTAGGTTTAGGTAGCTGGGTTGAAAAATTATAGTTGTAATTAAATTAAACGAAGCTTCAGAGTGAAAGCAAAAAGGTAATTAGCAAAAAAGTAAAGCTTGTGTTGGCTTGAAAAACCTTTCTCAAGAGTCTTACGAAAAAGCAGACTTATAATTTTTATTTTATTGAAAAGTTAATTAACAAAAGCAGTAATCGCTTCAGAAGATTTTTTTTCTAGTTTTATATTTTCTGGCTTCGATGTTTCAGGAAAAGTTGAATTCCCAGTTTTGGATGTTTATCCGGTTTAGGGTTTCGTTCATACACGAAGTTTATTTGCAATTAAAAGCAAAACGTGTAAAAATTTTTCCAAGGAATGTGTTTCCAGGAAATAACTCGGAGCAACTTCCTGTGAGGAAGTAGAGAAAAGTTTCTCATAAAAATCGGAAAATTCTATGATTCGCTGTATTAATTTAATAAAGCAAAGTAATTAGCGTCTACACAATTTTTTGACGATTTTAACGCGACTTCTCAGATCAATGAGAGGTATTTAACAAGGGTGCTTTTAAATCGCATTGTTGTGTTTCCTGAAAGAAATAAAAAACAAAAACAAAGGAAGCGGATAATCTGAAAAAGTTGTCTTGTTTAAAGTTCTAAAAGCCAAGGAAGTAAATCTTAACGAGACTTCACCTACATACACGTTCAACTTCTGCTGATAATACTTGTGTTTTGTCTCATTGTTGATGTTATTTAACATTAATAATTTTTTTCTATCGTTCTTTAAATATCTATCACAATTTTGCTTTTGCCTACAAAGTTGTCTAGATTGAAATACGTTTTCTATTACAGACGCTTTGACACAGAGAAGATTTCTGCCCTCATTATACTGAGCTCTGTTCAATCTTTAAGCACAAACAAGTCATGCAAAATTTTTGTTACGAACAATGTTACTTTGTAATGTTGATTGGATGCTTTCAGCTATATTCTGGAGATGAATAAATAAATGTTAGTTAAAAGCACGATACGTCGGACTGGCAGAGGGTTGATGCAGAGTAAGGCATTAAACTAATTTAAAAAATTAGTAACCCTCTTACAGTGTAAACATAAGATCAAAGCTCCAAAGAAATCTAAAGCCCAACTGTCAACAAGACGGGCTCTTCAACGTCATTAGGTTGCTGAATTTTATTGCAGCCACTTCATGTTGTGATTCTAGAACGTAAATAGAGATTTTAATTATTTCTTCATTCAGCGCAGTCAGACGACAACAAAATTACAAAATTGGAACCTTGTCTGAATTTCTTCCGGGTTTGGTTCATTTGTCTATCTAATCTAGTTGAATTCAATATGAAAAGCTGTATTTGTTATCACTCGTAGAAATGAGTGACAGAAATTTATAACACCAGGTACTAAAACAATATTGTGCTTTCAATGATCGTAATCACTGAATCAACATTAGAAAAAAAAATCGCATTAAATTATTAAGTGCTTTTGTTCTAAATTAAAATTAAACAGATGTAAATTCTATGGAAAATCAAAATTAGCCTTTGTTTACCAAATTACGTTTATTTTTAGTGTTCACCCGTGAAGTGAATTTTGAAAACAACAAAAACTAATTTAATTTAATGAACTGAAATACAGGTATTTGAATGACAGCTATTGTGAGTATGAAATTAATTTTAGCCGAACAAATGCAACCTGTGTGCTTTTTATTAAGCTGATTTTATTTATTCAGTCACACATAATAAAAACACACGTTACGTTCAGAAATTAAATTATCATATGTACCCACTAGAAAATTAAGTTTTTTTGTTTTTAAAAACCAAAAACAGAAAAACTGAAGGATTTATATCTTTGTGGACAGAAATTAGGTACAAAAAACATCCCAACTTGTTGATTTTTCCCTTCTAACACGGGTCTACTGCGGATATTTTACACCGTAGAATAAATACACGAGAAGCTTTCAATTGTAGCTAAAAATGTTCCTTCGAACATTTTAGAACATCAAACTGCCGGGGGTAAAACACGTTTTTTCTCCTTTATTTGCCATCAAAGTCATAATTATGGCTTTTATTTAGTTACGCAAAAGTAAATTTTGTGGTAGCAACACAAATCCATTTTTATATCATTCTAAGTGTTAACTTTGAAATCAAAAAACACGAATATTTTCATTTTTGAGCAAAACAACTAAACACAGTCAGTTGGCGCGAGTTTCACTTGATTTATTATTCCCCGAGCTGTTAATAGCAGGTGAAGAAAGACAGAATTTTTTCGTTTGCCAAAATCTTATAAAAACCATTAATCAAATAAACAGGAACTCCATTCCGAAAAGCGAGTGGAAAACTCCCCGATTATAAAATAAAAATTTAGAAGACACAATCGTTCTAGCAGAAAATGCGAAACAACCGAATAAATTTCCGAAATAGAAGAAGAGTTTAACCGTTCCAGTTTTTTCCTGAGGGGAAACTTATTATTATTTTATTTTTATCCCCGATTCGTGAAACTCGGAGAACATCCCTAAATCTCATGGTAATGCCACGAGCTTCGCAAAGATTCACTTCAAGTCGAATTATCGTCACATTCGACTCCTGCATTGTGAATTCATTGTTCAAAGATTTAGTTGGGGTCAGCGAGCTCTTTGCTGAAAGGTGCCGTGGTTGAAGTCCGCTGAATGGATAGGAAGGGTAGTTTCCAAAGCAACTCTAATTAGTTATACATGCAAATGTTAATTAGGGGCGACTGTGTCCTTAATAGTGTAATTAATACCGAAAAATTCCTACACGGAATAATTTAACCCAGGTTCGTGTAGTTTAGCATACACAAACAATAAAATTTGATTAGGAGATAACAAAGTTATCTTTGCGTAAGTGAAGCTGGGGCTAAATGATCACACTAAAGAGAAATCTTTCTTAAATTTTTAATTGTAATTTAAACGCTTTGTTGGATTCAATGTGGATGATCGAGTGATTTTTTTTTTCAAGAAAATCGTATTAGGATTCAGAAAAAGACTCACCGTTTTTTACATCTTGCGATGTGGCACAAAATCACTTTCGAATAACCGCGGTGTGTTAAAAAGTGCTACTTTTGCTTGAGTTGAAGTCGCAAAACGAGCGCGAAGTTGACGCACAACTGCTGGTCTTTAGCCAGAAGGAGCGACGCGCATACTGATAGAGAATACTGCCGTCGCGGCGACCCTTGATATTGATACTAGATACTGGTTACCCCCACTCGGAAGGGGTAAAAGTCGGTAGACGGACTAGTTCTTATTTCATTCATATGAATATAGGTGAATACTGGCTAAAAATAGGCACCTTTATGACTTATTAAACCCAAACCTTGAACGTCATCTGTATACCTAGTTTATGAATGAAACTCCGTTTCAAGAAACTACTAAAAATTATCAGATAATTAATACAAAGTTAGTACGTGTTTAGTTTACGAATTTATTAAGCACGTGTTTGAAGCCGTTTTGGCCGGTTTTGTTTATGTGTGATTTTTTTTTATCGTTTTGGTGAGCGCTGCAATGAGGGTTATTTAGATTATGTTTATTATTTCATTCAGCGTGGTTGCCATAAAATGATGAAAACATTAACGCGTTAATCACTGGAAGTATCTGAAGGAATTTTGCGATTCGATTTTTTTGAAAAATAATTACCTTGTTAAAATACTTCAAAGAACTAATCTGTATTTACGGTAGACGTGTAGGATTGAATGTGCTTTGAACTCAAGTTTACATCAAACGTAATAATAGGGGTTGGTGCATGTTTACACAAGCTGGACTTTATCGATTTATTTGCAAAAAATGTGAATTCGACCGAGATTTTCCATTAGAAATTTTCCGAGGTTTTAGTAACTCTGATTTTGATTTTTAAATGTACAAATTATTATGTTGTTATAACACATTGGAACTGGAAATATTACTAAAGGCAATTTATCACGAAGACTAATGTTAGTGCCGAAGCTATTGAAGATCTGAGCGAACAAAGCTCCACTAAATCTCGAACAAAGTTATCTCTTCAAACTGGAGTTGTTGCACGTGCCACAAAGAAGAAAAGTTTTGTCAACGATTTTTGTTTGATTTTTCTGGTGAATTTTGCCGTATCCTCGTTTGAAAAAGGTCCACATTTTGTGTTTTAAAACATTTATTTAGGTCTCAGCTGCGACTTTTTTATGTTTTATTAATGTTATTGTGTGTTTGATCCTTTACTTGCTTTGTTATCTGTGTTAAAAATTTATTATTAAATCTCGTTGGGTTCATCCGGAAAAGTGAATTTTGTTGTGGACGTACACACGAAAAAAAAATTATTGTGGCGTTCAGTGACAATAAAATTGTGATTACGTTAATCATTTAATTAGTGGGAGTTTAAGATGACGCTTCTGTTGATGTTTACCTGGAATGTTTTGTAAAAAATGTACTCATTTCAAACGATTTGAAAGAACCGATTTGTGTTTACGGTGGGTTTGTAGGATTGGCTTTGCTTTTAACTGAAATTTACATAAAACGTAATTTAAAACATTCGCGCGTTTTTACTCAAGCTGTACTTCCATCGATTTAGTTACAAAAACAAAAAAAAAAACAAAAATGGGGTCAGAATATAATGGTTTGAGTGAGAAATTTCCGACATTTTTGTCCATTAATTTACAATATTTACATAACGTCTGAAATAGTTTTGAAATTATTGAATATAATTAAGGAGAATAAATTGGAATTCTTCACAGCGGATTTATATGCACAAAATGCCCAATTTTTCGATATATGCAAATTTTTTTCTAAATATTCACAGTTTTGTGCACCTATGCAATTAATTGTAAAATTCTGTCTTCTATCTATCAATTATTTTGTATCGAGAAAAACTTCTATCTGGAGATGTATTTGGTGCGTATTTTAACGCACTAATAATACCGGGACTTAATTCTACATTAATATCTAGTAATTCGCAGCTTAAAGTTAAACTTATGTTTTCTACTAGCTCGTAACCAGTATTTTTATTAATCACTTGTTTTACTTTTTTATTTACAGAATCACTTATTTTTCTTGAAATATTCAAAGTATTGGTTTGAAAATTTTTAATTAACTCCACAGATTCAATTAAAGGCATGTACTTTGTTTTTAGTTTTGTAATCGTCGTCGAAACAAATTGATAATTCGCTAAATAAATGCTAACTCGTTCAGTAAATATTTTTTTTAGTACACCTTTTATCGCTTAAATAACCTATCAGTAGATTTGCAAATATAAGTAAAAGTGGTTTTTTTACAGTTTGTTTAATACTGGATAAAGTCTCATTGTAAATATCTGGTACATATTTTTTTCTCAGCGTACTTTCATCTACAATATTTTTTAAAAACACTTTGAAACAAGGATCTTGCGGTTATTTAAAGGGAATATTGGCACTATAAGCGTCGCTTTACATATGGAGATTTTGACATTTCTTTTTATGCTGTGTTCAAAGATGTTGCGATATTTGAAAATTGCGTTCATGTGTTATTATTTTCTTTTATTTCATGACAAAAATAAGTTAAAAAGTCGTATTAAAAATGTGCAATATAATTTAAAAAAAAAGCATTTACGATTTCCCACATGCTTTGCAGAAAATATTTTCGTTGGTTGAAATAAGTTCAGGATAATTTTTGATTCATGAATTTTTTGAAGAATTAGAAATATTTTGTCAAATTATTCTCCCCAGTTTCACTTGCCAATATTAGGTATGAAATACTGTATGCTCAGTCGACATGTACCTAGTTAAACTGTCATGACTTAAGACAAACCACTCTTATAAATCAAACTGATTAAGGTGAACTGCAACAAATAAATTTTCAGGTATATTTATTTAGAAAAATGCCAGAAAAATCCAAATAGATATTCAAATGTTCTTAGACTTTCGCCAAACGGAAATTATAAATAATTTTTTTTGCCTCTAATAAACAAACCATTTACACCATAGCAGACCTAAGTTCGAATTTTACGTTGCTCTATGTTAATGAATACATTAATATTTTGCTTTTTGGAATATTTTTTACAAAAGTTCGACCAATTGCAGGTAATCAAAAAAAATCAATTGTCCAGATTTTTTTGTCTGGTGTTATATAAAGTAATAAAAATAAAACAATAATATTGGAGATGGAAACAAGTTTAGAAATAACTAGAATCAAATCAATAATAAAGCAATAATTATTTAGAAAATGTTTTAGCTGAAAAAAGTGCCCAGACACCGAGTTTCAAACCCGGGTCTTTCATTTTCACAGACCAGTTGCCCGAAGTTCGTAGTTAGGAAGAATTAAACAATAAAAATTGTGATAATAATAAAAAAATTAAGGCAAATTCATAAACCACAAGTACAAGAGTACATTATTTTATAGAATTGAATGATCCTTTGCTTCCATAAAAGTTGGTTAGCCTTTTACAACTTATATAATATTCATAGATACACATGAAATTTGATAACAGTCGATGCGGTATTTCGAAGATTATCTGCTTAATAAAAATTGACATAGACGACAGACAACAGACGACAGGCAGACAAACAGATAGACAGACAGACCGACGGAACCGAGAGATCTATATAATTTTTCGTATTCTAAGGCTTATGAAACGTCGAGAAAACATGAAAGTAGGTAACCCCCCGATGGCGATGGACCTTATTACACTATTTCCTTAACTTACGCTCGGGACGCAAAAAGTTAACTTCAGCTATTGATCAAATTCTTAGTTTTTTGCTAAAGGATTATCAACCGGTATTTATTCCACCCCTTATATTTAGTTTAATAATATCTATAAACAACTATACCAAAGTAGTTGAAAACATCGTATATAAAAAATAAACATCCTTCCACTGCTGGTAAATCATTGATTTCTACTTTACAATATGGATTCATGCAAGGTCTTGACACCATACAGACTTCCTCAAGGCATTGGATTCCACAAGTCATTATACGAGTACTAATAAAAAAATTTCGTTACATGTGTCTCAATGATATGTTAATAGAACTTGTCATATCCTATATCAGACGCAAACATTTAGTGCGTTTATGGCTTCACACGAATTTAACTCCCATTATGGTAAAAAAAAGCCATCAACGCACTAATTGTTTGCGTGTAGTATACTAGTATACCTGATCAGTCACTCCAACATCTGGTGTACTTCAGGGGTCTAACTTGGAACTTCTGTTATTTTCAATATTTATGAACGATATAACAATTTACTACATCGAAAAACTGTAGTAAATGATAAGCTATTTGATGAGAAATTGACTTTTACTGAACACCTTAATTATTATTGCAGTAGCTGCTTTATATAAAAAGTAAGGGCTGGTAAATTTTGAGATACAGATTTCGTAGAATTCTTCATATATTATTCTAGTGAGATTAAAATTTGGATAGAGTCTCCTACTTTGATATTCTATTTATCAAGTTTATGTCCATCAAATACTAAATGTACCTAGAAAATTTCCGAAGTATCTTGCGTTTAAAACAAATAGTCATACTTAATTGCTCAAATGGTTTGAATTGGAGTCTTTAAATTGTGCGTGGTACGCCGACAAAATATTTTTTCCGTGTTTCAATGTTTGGGTTTCATAAGTTTTCGTTTTTACTTCCCGAGCGTAAGCAAAGGAAGTATTGTAATCGAGTCCGTCGGCCGACTCTCTACTTTTACGTTTTCTCGATCTTTCATGACCCCTAGAAGACGAAGAAATAGGTCTCCCATTTCCGTCCGTCTGTCCGTCCGTCCGTCTGTCCGTCCGTCTGTCCGTCTGTCCGTCTGCCCCCGGATTTTTATTAGACAGATAATCTCCGAAAGTACTCGACCGATTGTTGTGAAATTTTGTACTTATATTAAGAATATCATGTAGATGGTAAAACGCTAACCAAAATTTGTCTAATCATCCCCACCACTAATGCGATGACGTCACTTCAAAATTGTACATAGTAAATTGGTTTTCAATTGTATAAAATAACATAGTCCTACACATGTAGTTTACAACTCCGAATCGACTTTTCACCCGAAACGTCCAGATTTTTGGAAAAAAAATCAAAAATATAAAACAACATTTTGAAATTTAATTTTTAATCTGCTAACCAGAATGCTTTGAAATGTTGCAGATGTTTTAAGGCTATAAAGAGCATCATAAATCTTTAGTCAAAAAATATT